GAGAGAGAGAGAGAGAGAGAGAGAGAGAGAGAGAGAGAGAAAGAGAGAGAAAGAGAGAGAGAGAGATTAATTATAGAAATTAGAGTCTACCTGGGGTGAAGGTGGAAAAGGGGAAAGAGGGACAGGAAAAGGGGTGGGGAGGAGGAGGGTGTATTGTTTTAGGCCCAGACCCTGACAGCCGAACGGGGCGCTTCCCTGTCCTCGTTAAAATTCCCTCTTGATCTATAACACTACTGATTACTGGGCGGAACGAAGGATCGCCGGTCCAGGGTCCTGGCCAAATAATAAGTTAACTCCGGGAAGTAGGTGACGAAGAGAACATCAAAAAGAACCATGGACCATGGATGGCTTAAAACTCAATAGAAATCATTTTGCTAACAATAGATGTACAAGCAGTTAAGAGACAGGTTGAATGATGAATGTAACTGATGCAATGATATAAAATAATATGTATTATTAATACTGCAGACGTATCCTTCATTTGTAAGTAACAGAGAGGCCAATTGGCAATTAGAAGCCGTCTTTTTCTATGGTCTTTTTAGCTCTCTGCGCAAAAGCCAAGGAGGCAAAAGCTGAATTCACCCGGAGGCTGACGGCATGCGGATAACTTTAGAACGATAGATGTACGCCATTGGCCGATATTTATAGTAACCATCGTCTTGTTTGAGGTCATTGAGGGATTTCCACTTTGTTGTCGTTCACAGTGGCAACACGACCGCAAAGCACAATTGCAGTATTTTTAAAACCTGTAGCCAACAGTGGTGTGGTGGCGGAGTGGTTAGTGCGCTTGTCTCCAAAGCAGAAAGTCCAGGTTCGAGCCTCGGTTCGGCCACGGATTTTTTTTCGCTCACCCACCTCTAATGGGTACCTGACTTCGAGTTGGAAAGTAAAGGGAGGTCAAACAAGATGGTTGTTACTATAAATATCAGACCGAAGGGCTAGAACCCAAATGGTCGCTGGATCCGAAAAGTTATCAAAGTAAAGTAAGTAAAGTTACTGTAAACATCGGCCAATGGCGTTCATCTGTCGTTCTAAAGTTATTCGCATGTAAGCTGACGTCACCGCCAGGTGGGCGGTGTTCGGAAAGGCGCGCCTCGCGCAGATCCGATAAGTTTCACATTGTGAAAGGGGAGATTCATATACGACGAGCCGGCGTGATTAATACAAAAGATTGAGGGACGAGTCTCGGTAGTCCGACAACACACCAAAGAACCACTATTGTTTCTCAGAGCGCCTTCAAATCGGCCGAGTGCTTTTTGAACGTTGATTAGATATTAATGTGCATTTACTTAAAACTACATAAATAAAAATTATGATCAGCAATCAATGTCTTGAACTCTGTACAGCCGACAAAAAGTGACCGGCGCCGTCGGTCTTGCCCTGTGGAAGACCCCGCCTGATGATGATGATGGTGATGATGATGATGATGATGATGATGATGATGATGATGATGATGATGATGATGATGATGATGATGATGATGATGAGGAGGAGGAGGAGGAGGAGGAGGAGGAGGAGGAGGAGGAGGAGGACAATATCATATCAATAGTAATGAGCAGGTCGTGAGACACTATAAGAATTAAATTGGTGTGTCTGTGTGACGAAAGGACTCTAACGGATTGGTTTTTGGTCTGAATGAGCAGTACATACGATTCTATGGGTATTTTGAAGACTGGTGAACGTACCTGGCGCTAACTTTTGTTGCTCTTTTTAATTTTATGCAAAAGAGGCTTTGTTTTCTCTTTAGTTAAGTGCATTTAACTTGGAGGCCCATCTTTGGATCATTTAATTTTGTGCTTCCCAAAATGTAATTTTTGGGCCAATTTTATACCTATATATGTATTATGTTAGTTATAAAATTACAGGTTGCTTTTTTGAATACCGTACCGAGGAGTTGCATGCATTCAATACTTTTCCCCGATCGTTTTTAATGTCATGCAAACGAGCTCTTCTTTTTCTCTATTTTGTTGCATATGATGTATATCTATCAAATAATGTATAGCGATACTTTTTTTTGGGGGGGGGGGGCATTTTCAAGTTAATTAATGAAAATTTATTTATCATGTGTAGGAGGATCTTTGACCCAGATTCTAAGCCTTATGGGAAAAATATTTTGAAGGTCGGTTCATAGAGAGACCGACATTCACCATCTTCTTTTCATTCCCTCCATCTAATCTCCCCTGTACGTTATTGAAAAAAAATTAACCTATTCATTAGCCAATTAAATTTTGTACAAAATTCGATAAGTACAAACTACGATGGTTTAAAGAGCTTCCGGGGTCTTGCTTGAGTTTCTACTTCCTACTTCCGGTCAACGTTGTTTTGGTTCTTACAAGCAAGCATTAGAGATACCAGCCTGGCGCACGTGCTTTCGTTTTCACAGCTCGTAGTCAACAACATTGCATCGTTTGACTGAGCTTCATCAACTATATCACAATGCCGAAATCGAAGCGGGATAAAAAAGGTTGAAGTTAAAACTGTTAAAGCTTTCCGTCAATATGTTCTCATGTCCTTTTCTGCTACTGTCGCACTGTGCTGAGACTGACTGATGAACTGTGGTGATGTCTCACTGATGACTGATGATGCGAGTCTTATCTAGAGTCTAGATTCTACTGTGTAACTGTAAAGGACTGTTGTAGTACAGTGAGCAGTCTTGGAAATGTGTTTTTGCTGCGATGATTACTGTGACTGTGGGGGTGTGTTAAGTGTTAATCTATTATAATGAAAATAACACTCAATCTTAGCTTTCTATTTGTGAAGCTACAGTCAGCGAGCACCTAGCACACCTCTGTGATTGGTCGAAATTCAAATATAGATGACGTATTTCCACCATCTATTTTTGTCGTTTTCCGGGGTTTCGCCCAAGCCCAAGACTCTTGGGTTTCCCTCACCAGTTACTGTTGACGAGATCTGGCCGTGTTGGTTTTTTCTTGGTTTTAATTCATGTTATCAAATAATGATCTCAGCAACGGTGTACAGACACACAAACACAAGCATGTGCGCATGCACACATACACAAACACACACACACACACACAACCCAAGCAGTCGGCAATGAAACCTAGTGACGTAGTCCATCGGCAAAGCAGGCCCACCACAGCGAGGGAAGCTCAGGAAGACAAAAGTAGATTGCGAAATACGTCATCTTTATTTGAGCCAATCGCAGAGGTGTGTGCAAGGTGCTCACTGCAGCTTCAAGAATAACTTCCTCTCATAAGTTGATAAGTCATTATGAGTAGTTACGGCCATTTGAATATTTTTATAGTAGGTCTCTATACTTTAGCGTGTTGTCTAGTCTAGACCTAGATTATATTAACAGTCGAACCCGTGTAAGACGGAATTGCAAGGGAGCCAGAAAAAAGACATGGGAATTTAGGGGCAGCAGAGCAGGGGGGGGGGGGGCGTTCCAGAGAGGCCCAGCCCATGTGATCTATTCGATAAGTAATGGGGAAGACTTCACACCTCTCAAGTGCTATCCTAGCCTCTCTGATGATAGCGTGCGCGTCAGTTGTGTACAGCAGGTAAAATTAACATGAAAAGGGATTTAAAAAATTGAGGCATGAGACAGGTCCATGAGTAAAGTAATACTGCTGAAGGGGCTTCATCACCTGACTTGAGGGGAATTTAAACCACTTTAAAAATAAATAATCTAATTCCACTTTGTAAAATGTCATTCTGACTGACGGGTTTTACTTTTGCTCTGAAAGAATAAGAATTTCAGTGGAAACCTGATATAACAGGGATGATGGGACCAGAGATAAAGTCCTGTTATATCAGATCCCTGTTAAATCAGAAATGCAAGTGAAGTAAGCATTTGTGGACTAATCCAGCTGTATTTATTCATGGGTAGTTTCCCTTGCCACAAGTACCCAGGAACAAGAGTTTTGGCCATATGGCATGCCTGCTCGTGACACATTACTCGTGCGTGTAGCTAGGCTTAGGGCTAGATCAAAGTCTGCAGCACACCGCAGCTCTCTCTCGCTTCACCCGCTGCGTGGGCTTGCTCCATCACTGCGTTACTCTTTCTCTCTCCCTCTCTCTCTTACTTATTACACATTGTCAATGAGCCTTTGTCCCAACTATAACCATTTGGGCTATGATTAGGCCCTGTTATTGCCAATTACTTTTAATAGAGACAAAGGGTAGAAAAAAACCCGGGAATGTTAAAAATCCCTGTTATTACCGGGCCTGTTATATATGTGGTTTCCACTGTATTAATTAAAACGTTAGCAGTCTTGAAGACAAAACTGTTTGCTCTCTTCCTGCTAATTGTTGATGTATAAAACACAAACTTGAATGAAATGATTTTCTCTGTGTTCCAGTGTCACTGACACAGACGAAGAAGAAAGGCTTGGAGCTGAAACAGACACTGATGGAGAAGGTGAGATTTCTAAAAAAAACTTTCTGTCTCTGCTACTTAGACACGGTTGTGGTGTAAATTCTGAGTAGGTGGGGATTCTGTGCTCATTTTAACTTGCCTACTGATGCTTGATGTGGCCTCTGTGTACCCTCTAGTGTGTTTTGTGTTATTTAAATTTGAGTTTTTAAATTTTCGCCTTGTTATGTCGTTGGCTCTGGTGTAGGTTGGTTTGTTCCGCTGTCAGTTGTGTCTCTCAGAAAATTATTCAATAATGATTATATTTGTTTCTCTCTTGTGCAGGTTTTTGGACAACACCACTTTTAATTGTCTTTTGCGGATGGTTGCTGGGTGCTTTTATTTTGTGTAGTTTGCTCCTTCTTTCCTATCAAATACCCGTTATTTTTATCTTTCTTTATTTGTGTTCGTTACTCGCTTGTAGCACTTTTAGTCTTTGGCACTTACATGACCTAATTATCATATGTTGCAAGTGCCTTAAAACTCTTTATTTACTAAAACAAAGTAAAACTTGCAGTGCCTTTGTTGTTTCTGACCATTTCATTTTTTCCCCATCCCTTACTCTTTTTAGTAGCTGATGCTAGTTGGATTTTGTTTTCTGTATCTCAAGTCAAAGCTTTTTTTGTGGTCTTGGTGTCGACAGATACGAGAAACAGCGGACCAGTATGCTAGAATCTTCACATTTTCAGTTCACAACATGCGTAATGTGCAGCTCAAAGAGATCAGACAAGAATGGAATCACAGCAGGTAGGCCCAGTGTCCTGGCAGATGTACACACACACACACAGCTCACTCTTTGTTCATATTACGCACTCACCCACACAAACACAGCGCACTCACAACACGCACTCTGTGCACCTGCTGCACTCATTGCACACATGCAGCACACATTTGCACACACATTCACACTTCGTGTTCTTTGTATACACACACACACTCTGAGCAAAAAGCACCCTCAACACACACTGCACGCACACATAGCACACATACTCACAAGTTGTGCGCATTGTACACACGTACACTGTACATGCCAAGCAGCCACTGCACACATGGGACACACATTTTACACATACTGCGAACACACTGTTTACACACACTGCACACTGTACTCTCAGTATGTCCACACTGCACTCAATCTGCATCAGTGCTTATGTTGTACATGTTCTGCACACACACACACACGCACACACAAACATACACACACACACACACACAAACACACACTCACATGTGCATGCACAAAGAAACACGAACACACAAAAACACACACAGTACACGCGCACAAAATACACACACACACACAAAACACACACAGACACACTCTCTGTATATATTCACTGCGCACATATGATGCATCATCTGTACACACACTCTATAAACACTCTGCGCACACATTGCTTAATGTAGAACACAAAGGAAAAGTTCAGGGAAATTGTGTTTTCTTGTTAGGCACACACTGTATGTAATTAAAACATTCATCCAACATTTCATTGTAATGGAACTCTGCTTTGTCTGTATCATCTATCATCTGTTTTAATCTTGTTTTGACCATGTGTGATTTCCACTTCTCTGTCAAAGCATGACTTTTGTAAAAATCAATACTTCCTTATATTTTGTCGGGTTTTTGTTGTTGTTTTTAATCACTGTATATGTGAAGTGTGCTGACAAAAATGGGTTACTTCTCGCAATCCACAAATGGAGATATTGGCCAAAAATCGACACTGTCCATTTTCTATTCATGCCATATTCTTTAAGTATAACATGCCTTTTATTATTTCAAACTTTAAATTGTAAAAGCTACCCCTATAATCATGATGTATCTATTTCCATATATGAGAAATTTATGTCTTGTCCCAGTGAGGTTAATGCTCACACATCTCTTTTTTTGTGGGTGGTTGGTGGGTGCTCTGGTGTGGTTTACTCCTTTCCTATCAAACATCTATCGTCCTTATCTCCCCCTTCTTCTTTTTTTATGTTTGTTACTCTCTTTTAACACCTCTAAACTTCTGGCGCTCATATAACCTTATGCAGTTGCAAGCGCCGTAAAACCTCTACTGAAACTAAACTAAAACATCTTTTTTTTTTTCTCTTAGATTTTTTTTCGGCAAGAACAAAGTGATGATGCTGGCCCTGGGTCGTACAGCGGAGGAGGAGTACAGAGAGAACCTGCACAAACTGACACAGCACCTGCAGGGCCAGATGGGTCTCCTGTTCACCAACGCCACAGAGAAGGAAGTCTTAAAGTAAGTGTAAGGCTAAGGGTGATCTTTTGCTGCTGCTGCTTTTTGTACTGTAACTGTTTGTCTTTGTCAAGAGCGTGGTTAGTGGGTGCTGTGGACGTCTGGTGTGGTTTGCTCCTTCTTTCCTATCAAACATCTGTCGGTGGGTGGTTGGCTGGTGGATGCTCTGGTGTGGTTAGCTCCTTCTTTCCTATCAAACATCTGTCGTCCTTATCTCTCATCCTCCTCCTTGTAACACATCTGCTCTGCGGCACTTATTTGATCTTATTGTGTTGCAAGTGCCATAAAACTCCTACTAAAACTAAACAGCTTGATTTGAATGATCATGTTTAATCATATCCATAGAGGAAATCCAGTGTGAGAGAGAAACAAGCCGAGAGCCCAGTTTTGGTTGGATTTAGCAAGAAAAAGTTATAAATTCCCCGTGTAGGCAGGTTTTTAGTAAAAAGAGGTTGCTTGAAAAGAAGGGAAAAAATATCAGGGGTTTTATTTTCTTTTGGTTTCCCGCTGTTTTAGGATTAACCCTTTGTGCCTTATGGTGCGTGGAACTGTCCATATGCCTAGCCACTGGTACTGGTACATTGGTGAGCGAGACCTTATCTCCGACCCGGCCAGCCTTGGACAAAATGCACACGGAAAACAGTGTTTAACACGCAGGATGTTATTGATTTTAAAAAAAATCTTTCTGAATTAGAGGCTGGTAATGATGAGGACTACCCTGAGTGGGATATGGATTCTGATGGTCTTATGGATGTTTGCTTTTTTAAATTCTATTTGTGTTTGTTTGTTTTTTTCTTTAAAAAAAATGGATATTAGTAATATATCGCTCAGGAGCTCAGGCAGAGGCACGGTAGCCTCAGGAGGTCAGGGCTCAAAGGGTTAAAGGTCTCCGGTTTAAGCGGACTCGACTGTATAACAAAGTGAGAAAGTTAGGACAGATAATACATATGTACCTTTTTCATTTGCATAGAATCATGCACTGTTTCTCCCCCCCCCCCCCCCCCACCCCCTCTTCTCCCCCCCACTCCCCCTGCAGGTACTTTGAGGAGCTGTACATCCCGGACTACGCCCGCTCAGGCACAGTGGCTAGCCAGACGGTGGTGCTGGAGGAGGGCCCGCTCACAGAGTTCACGCACTCGATCGAACCCCAGCTACGACAACTGGGACTGCCCACACAGCTCAAGAGAGGTGAAACTGGAGGGGTGGGAGGTTGGGGGAGTGGGTGGGTTGTTGGGTTGGTTGGCGGGGGCTCTGGTGTGGTTTGCTCCTTCTTTCGTTTCAAACATCTTATCGTACTTATCTGTCCTCCTTTTTCGTGTACGATACTCTTTTGTAACACATCTGTTCTTCGACACTTATATGACCTAATTGTGTTGCAAGTGCTGCAAAACTCTTAGTAAACCAAATCTAAGAGGTTTTTTTTTTGGGGGGGGGAGGGGGCAATAGTGTGTAACTCACTGACTCGTTAAGATAGTGGTTGGGGGGAGCATAATTCAAGTTAACTCATTCACTGTCTCATTTGTTGAGGTAGTGTGATCGGGGAAATGTAAATCCCTCGTTTGTTTATATGGAGATAGTGGTCATGGCAGGGTTGTGGCATTGTGGACTGGGGTGTCTGTGGACTGCCTGCCCACCCTGAGAAGGGGCCATTCATGTTGAGGATAGGAGGGAACAAGGGGTTTTCAAGAGACTGGAAAGACCTAACTGCCCTGTGACGGTGTAATTCCGGTAGGGTTCACGTTGCCCATTAGCCGCCACTAAAGGCTACTGGCTAAAATTTTCTAATCTTTCATGAGGTATCGGCCAAGTGGAAAAGGCATTGGATCGTCACGTCCTGGGTCGTTGTGCCTTTACTAAGAGGTACACGGTCAGAAAGCAAGTCAGGCATTCCGCTCGGTCCATCCCCTGCACCCAGACACTCTCAAACTGGCTGGTACCTTCTCAGCCACGGAGGGTGTGTTGATAAAAGAAGTAGAGGTGTTAGGCAGATTAGACACCCACTCAAGGGAGAGTAGGGGTGTGTTAGTGAGGAGCATAGCGTCTACCACGCATCGGTGGGTTCTGCCTCCTGCGCCTTGTGGGGCCACACCTGCTCTCATCCTGTTGTTTTAATCCCTCTAGGAAACGGGGGGGTTGGTTTGTTGGCGCCAACAACTCGCCACTCGCCAGAGCCGTGTCAGTGAGGACAGGGACCACCACGGGCAGGTACGGTTGGCTGGATTGGGAGAAGCTGTTTGAGACGCTTAGGCATTTCTCAATATTTAAATGAGACCCATCACCAGTCCTTGATCCCCGTCATGGCAGGGAGAAAGTCTTTGCCATCAGTATAGGGGATAGACAATTTCCTCTTCCCCTGCAAGTTTTGGGGGTGGGGGAGGAGGAGGAGGGGGAGGGAACGAGAATATGTCTCTGTGCTGTGGCCACAGATGTAACAGACCAGCTGCAGATAGAGGGTTTTTACTTGAACAAGTCAAGATCAGGTCTTTGGTTTGCCCAAAGTTGTTACCTGGTCAGGTTATGTACAGTTTTCATTGAGCGCCTTTTCGGATGAGATGTGAGTTACTCAGGGTTCTTGCGGCCTCCTTGAATTCAGTGAGTCCTTGAAAACTTCTTGAATTTGCATTCAAGGAAAATCTCTTTGAATTTCGCAGAATGATAGGAACAATTTTTTTAAAGGAAATTCGAAACTGCAATTCCTTTTGGACAAGTGTAGGCCTATCGGAAATAGGCTTTCTGCATGAACTTGTTGACCAAATCTCCTTGAATTAAACAAACTTCTCCTTGAAACCTCCTTGAATTTGGTGGGGAGTTCATGGAAGGAACCCTGGACTGTCTTTGTGTGCTATTTTGCGTGCTGTTTGCGTGTGTAATTAATTACATTCCTGCTGTGTCTGTGTGTTTCAGGCGTGATCCACCTGCTCAAGGAACACACAGTGTGTGAGAAAGGACAGACGCTTGGCCCCGAGCAATGCCGCATACTGGTGAGTGATTTCAGCCCCATCCCTTTACTTGGTGGGGGATGAGGGGGGGGGGGGGGGGAGAACTTGCATCTTCTGGCAGACTACTGTCTTGCAACTGCTGTGTTGCACAACATTGACATTTCAAAGAAACTATCAATCTTACCATTATCGAATGGAATGTTCATGGAGTATTTTTTTTTTTTTATATGACTACAATAAAATGTCACCTCTGTTTTATATTTCATTGAGCATAATTAGATGGCTTCAATGACAAAACTCTCTCCCAACCATTTTGTATAATATAGTATTTAAATTGTATGAAATACAATGTCACCTCTGTCTTATTGAGAATTGGGTTTTTAGATGGGTTACAGTAGAAATGCACAGCTGTTGTATGGAACATTGGGCATTCTAATAACGTTGATACGATAGTGTGCCCTTCTTGAGCTGTGCATTGTAATTACTCCCTGTGGGTGGTTGGCGGGTGCTTTGGTGTGGTTTGCTCCTTCTTTCCTAGCAAACATGATCTATCGTCCTGATCTCTCCTCCTTTTTTTGTGTTTGTTACTCTCTTGTAACACCTCTAATCTTGTGCATTCATATATGACCTTATTGTGTTGCAAGTGCAGTAAAACTCTTTCTAAAACTAAACTAAACTAAACCTTTTACCTGTTTATTTATCTCTTGTAACAAATACCTCTATTCTTCAGAACTTATATGACCATAATGTGTTGCAAATGCTGTAAAACTCTTACAAAAACTAAAAACCACTCCCTGTTTTCTGTCGACAGAAACTGTTTGGCCATCAGATGTCGGACTTTCACATCACCATGGAGGGCGTGTGGAACAACTCAGGACTGTGGAAAACCTTTGACGACCAGCCGCGGCACATCGTGCCAGACAGGGTCAAGGTCAAACGTGAGTCTTGTGATCTGCGGCTGCGTCTGTTGTGTTGTTTCTCTCTTTCTTTCTCTCTCTCCCTCTCTCTCTCTCTCTCTCCCTCTCTCTCTCTCCCTCTCTCTCTCTCTCTCCAGCACTTTTACTTTAATGATTTGTGGTGCTGCAAGGGCCGTAAAACTCTTACTAAAACTGAAAGTACTAAAAAATCTTCTCATACTATTTCCTCTTTCTTGGTTTGCAACAAGCTAATGCATTTTTCATAAAAAGTGCTTTGAAGGCATCCTGGTGCTTAAGTTGGAGGGGCGGGGGGTGAGGTGAATAGGACCTTATTGGCATCATCAACTTGTCTGTATTGTGGATTTGAAGTGGGTTATTTTATGCCACATCTCCTGCTTTCTCTTCTCAGCCAAAGTCGAGGAAAAACCCACAGACGACAAGGCTGATGATGAGACTAGCATAGGGCTGAACATGGAGGATAGTGCTGAGGATGATGATGATGAGGAGGGACAAGACGATGATATTGAAGATGATGACGATGAGGAGGAGGACTCTTGATAATGACATGTTATAAATAAACTATGTTTTACTCGACGGGTCTTCAGTTTATTTTTATTGCCCAGCCTGTGGTCCTTAACCCAAATACTGTCAGTGCGGTCACTGGGATGCCACCAGAATGTTGTGACCGGTTATAATATATATTTGTCACTGGGAAAAAATGCTGAATAAATCGGCTATGAAGAGGACACAGGAAGTAACTCTTCCTGAACAAGAAACAGTATTTCTAATTTCATTTTTGGCCAAAGCAAAGCTGGTTGACGCAGGAATTTTGGAAAGGCAAGTGTCTGAAGTCAGTGAATATCGGAGTCCGTGATTTATGAAAAATGGCAAGTCCTGATCCAGGGCCTTCCACTAGTGGCACTTCTTCAAGGAGAGGCTTGTTTGATTTATTTGAAGAACCTGATAGCGATGATTCAGATGGTGATTTCCCGGATATTCCACACATAAGTGACAATGACAACACTGACCACAGTGATGGGGGTGATGAAGAAAGCAATGTAGATCTTCTAGATCTAGTAGTAGTAGATCAAGTTGCAACAGTTGCAGATGATAAATTGAGAGAAGTTGAGCCTGAGGCAGAGATTGATAGAGAGATTAAAGGTAAACCCAATTTGATATCAGCATGATAACATTTTTCATGTAGTTTACTAACTAAAATTGTGTTCACACTTGTGGTAGCCTACCTCTTTAGTACTCAAAGATCTTTCAAATAATATAAATATAAATATGTGCATTTGTCAGAAATTTAGGTTGCTCTGAGCATCCAGAGTTAGAATAAGAAAATTTCACTATAGACCTAGAAAAAAAAAATCATATAAAACTCAAATTAACCACTTTCTTCAAGTGTTATACATGGTTTGAAAGATCTTTGAATACTGAACAACTTGGCTCTTTCAGTTTTCGTAATTTGTTTTATTTTGATTTTTTACCATTTTTTAAAATTACCCACCCTTACGGGTCTTACTTACAGTGGTCAGTCTCTAAGGTCAAGGTCACTCAAAAGAAGGAAAGTTGTCAAATGTTGAAAATGAGTGAACAATAGTGTTGTATGTTCAATTACCATTCTAAAATATATACTTGTCTTTACTTTGTATTGAAAATAAAAATGCTGTATCAGATTTTCTGATAATATACTTTTTGCAAAAACACCCTTACATTCTGGCAGCTTTCCATTGACAGTATTTGGGTTAACACGTTGCCATCACAGGGCTCATATAGTTTAAACCCTTGCCATCGTAAGCATTTTGGGGGATATCCAAAGATACTGGGTGGTAAACATCTCCGATTGGCGTTTTGTGACGCGAGCAGAAGTTCGACATTCCTTGCCAGTCGGCGAGATATGACGGCAAAGTGTTAAAAATAAGCCTTTGTGTAGATGAAAAAGATGTGAGTGGCAGACACCAATGTACAATCAACAACTGCAGCCTTGTTCGTTTATTATAATAATTGTGAACAAGTTTTTCTGTAACTGTAGGATGCGATATCGTAAGTAGCTGTGTGAAAAAGAGGTACTGTAGCATTAAAAAAATCTTTTTTATAAATATGATGATAAAGTTGACGTCTGAAATCCTGTTTTGACCAAGACTGAGTCGGAGCTCAATGACTTTCCAGTTTCATAGTTGTAAATTATGTACCATACTAATTTTCTCTATATTGAAAGTGAAAGGAGAACACGAGTCCCAGACATCGCACAGGAAACCAAGCAAGGATTAAGGCAGGGTTCCTGCAGCCTCCTTGAGTTCAAGGAGTCCTTCAAAACTCCTTGAATTCGCATTCAAGGAAAAAAAATCTTGAAAACTCCTTGATTTTGAGGAACCTCCTTGAATTGAAAACTACTTGAATTTCGTCAGATTGAACATGAACAAAATCTTTTAATTGAATTTTTGTTTCCTGTATTATTGCTCTTAGTAAAGCGCTGTCAAAAACTGCATGAATTTCTTGACGAAATCTCCATAAATTAAAAAAAATTCTTTTTGAAATCTCCTTGAATTTGGTTTGGATTTCATGGCAGGAGCCCTGCTAAGAGAAGGAGTGAGGAACGACTGTGGGGCACACGATAGAGTCAGTCAAACCTCCATGGTCTATGTGGAGGGCCTAGAGCCATGGATACATTGTAAGCCCTATCTCTTATACATGAATACAGCTTTTGATTATTTTCGTCTTTTCAACAAGCGGGTCTCATGATAACATGAGCTGTTTTCTATTTCGTTACAGATAAAAAAATTAGACACTTTTCATCAGGCCTTGTTGTCCCATCAGAAAAGGAATTGCCCAAGACGTGTCAATATCAAATCTGTATTATATTATATTATTTGCCCTCATTTTTGCACCTCTTTTAAGTGCAGTCATGCATGCTGGTGTATTTATTGCCTTGTTGACAAGCAACTTTACTAGACCAGGATGCACATACATGTAGGCCTTAACTACATGTACTTGTATTCTGCGTGTGTGGAACAGCATTCTTCATGCTTGTGTATTAACTTGAGAGTTAAAAAAAAAGATTTTTGATCATTTACACATGTAGGGCCTACATACTACATGTATTTATTATAAACCCAACTGTTGTGATTATTTTAGGCCTATTTTGTTTTTTTTAGAGTAGAGTAAAAGCAAAAGGCCCTAAATTTTTCCGGAAGTCTCACCTGACTCAAGCTGTTCATTTCATTCCCTATATACATACATTTGACATTGCATTCCTCGTGAACAAAGAATCAAACAATACAAGAATAGCTAGGTCTCTAGGCCGCTCTTCTTTTCCTCTCCACCTCCGCCCCTTTCTCCCAGAATGTGATGTGGTTGTTACAAAGGAAAATTGCCTCTTGACAAAATAGATGCAATGCTGTATCGAGTCAAAACATTAAAACATTTTGATAGATAGAAATAGAAACAGCAGGTCAAAGTGAAAGAAGAAGAAAGTTCCAAACCTGTGTTTAACTGTTTATAAATTTTTGAGTAATAAGTACGGTACAGTAATTTGAAAAAAAAATCTGTTCTCTTTCAATGGAGTTTGTTTTTACTTCACAGGTTGGTTTAGATTGTCACAACTGTGAACGCTTAAAAAAAAAACAAGAGTAAGAGTAGACAAGGGCAACTTGACTGTTCTGTGGCCGAGATCCATGTTATTTTTTTCTTGTCAGTTTTTGTCCGAGATGATTAATTGATGTTTAGTCGGTCTTGCGACCCACTACTACGTATTACTATAGGAGGCTCTACGGTCTTTCGCATTTGTTTGTGACCACGGTGTAGTATACAAAAATACAGTTGCACCTGCTCTATCAACCAAAAATATCACTGAATATATCAGATAGAACTTTGTAATTCGGGAGGTAGCGAATTGCAGTTTGTAAGTTAGTGGATTTCTTCTATTTATCCTGCTTTTAAGATCGAAGTATTAAAAAAAACTATGATTGACAAGGAACTGTCACCTATGCTTAATTAGTTATTTTAAAATTTAGTAATTTTTCACTCAAGAAATTTTATGCTAAAACAATCTTGCTACCCCCTATAAATGGAGGTCTTCAGTAGTAAGTTTATTCAGTGTTTAAGTTTAAGGCCATTGGCTCACATCACATCATATAAAAATAAAACACATTTGTTAAATAAAGTTTCCATAAATAATAATAAAAAAGGACATGTTGTGCACATATCTCTTCTCTTCTTATCATGGGTCAAACATTGCAAATTTATGTCACTGGATCGACTCGGGCTGGGGGGGAATTAACAATTTCCTTTGATGGGCAAAGTATGGACAACAGAAAATAAAGTGAAATTTATCTTCAATTTCATGAGATTACACCTCTCACTCTCACATAAGAAGAAGGGTGAATTAATCATTTCCACCTTTAGTATTGAAACCCAGATGTTCGGGCTCATTCTCTGGTTGCTGTTTATGAGAATGCGATGTCGTGTACAGACTACAACAATGAGACGTTCACCTGTACTTGTACTTGTACACACAGCTTCCCATTCCTCCTCCCCACCACCTTTGCACTTTTGTTTTTTTGGATACAAAATAATGGCACTATGTAAAAAGTCCACCTAAGTAGTAAGTAAGACAGCCACTTTTCTCCTTAGCAAGGGATGACCGTCTTAAACAGCTTGGACTATAATATTTTAAACATTTTAACATACGGTACCTGTAAAGTAAGTGTACAAGTAGGCTACATGATGAACTTGCCCTCGTGGAGCCCCAGTGGAAAATTTAACCTGGGTAAAGGGACGGAACTTTTACAATACGCGTAAGCTGTGTTCACTATTTTCATGGTTGCCTCCCCTGCTCATTTCCTGACTGGTTTGATTTTGGCGCTAAATTTCAAAATTTTGTATTAGCCTATATATGGAGACAAGTTAAAAAAAACAAACCCCAACGTATCACATGTATTATACTTTTTAAAAATGCAGGTATGGTACATGTATTTTTACACCTCTGTTGACACAGTTGAGATCATTTGGGAGGCGGCGTCCGACCTTGCCTGTCACTCTCACTCAGGATCCTTTGTGCATGCAGTGCCTTGTTTGTTGATCCAGGGTTGTCGAGTCTTGCTCAAGCTCAAGGACATACACATGTACCCCAGCGACCATCTGTCTGATCCCAGTGTCACCGCCACTTGTTTGACGTTACTTTAGTCTAAAATCACTACTCACTTGAATTCGGTATTTAATTAAAAAATGGTGAAATGTTTTATAGATTCTCTATTAATCGTTTAACACCCTTATATCATCAAAACTACATGTAATATATTTGTAATATATTATAAACAACACATTTATCATACATTGTGTTTCATTACGCCCACACTCCCCCACGCACACACATACATGTACATGCATAATAAAAGAAAAATATGACAAGGAAAACCGCTGTCCCGGATATTAAAAATGGAAGAGACTACAATTTCTAGTAGTTGGCCTCAGAGGTATTTTGAAAAAAATCTTTAATATAATAATGAGAGCATTTGTATAGCGCAAATTCCCACTCAACGGTTAGCTCTACACGGTTTACAATCTATACATGTATTATTACATGTACCCCA